CTGGTATCAATGACACCGTTTGCTTTGTTTTCTGTTTCGTTTTGTTTTAAGCTTTGCCTTTCTTACTGCCAGGTGTGACCTTCGCGCTGTCGGGCTGCCCCACTACCTCTTCAAGTAGCACAGCTACATTCCAAATGGTCATCTGCTTTCCATTCAAAATGGAAAACTTTCATCTCACAAATCACTCCCAGCAGACTTCCTCTAACAAATTACTGGACAGGACCTTAGTCACATGCCTACTCAAAGGACCAATCACTGCTAAGGGGAACGCAATGGCCATGATGGAATTTCTTGTATTAACCATGAGATATCTCCTCTCTGACTCGCTGAGGTAAAGGTCTTCCTCATTCCCTTCCCTGACTCCCAGCCACCTGGAAAGAGGGGATAGATACGAGTATTTTTAGTGTAGACATCAGTACTTACCCTCAATTATTTTGAAAGATCCATGTGACAACTACAACATGGCTGTTCAACGATAAGAAGCACAACAGTGAATATCAGTATTTAGAGCGGCTGCGTTAAAAGAATACGATTTCACAGGCAGGGGCACCAGAAGGCAACGAACTACTTTAACAGGTAAGAGTGCGCAAAACAAAGTAGCTTTTGAAAAACAAATCTGTCAGCCAACAGCATGAATCAGAGCAAACTGTAAACTCTCTTCAGGTTTATACTTTCCAGTACGACCCAGTTGAGCATTCTTATCCAGCCTTACATCTCCAACCAGTCTCAGCTTCGTGACTAGGTGGCCGGAGAAGGGAAGGAGCACAGAGGTTCTGACCTATCGATCATTCCTAGGCAACTTCCTCCTCCTCGAGAAACAGTTTCAGGGTCAAGCTATGTGCTAAAAGGAATGAAGAACGTAAGACAGTTTCCCGTCCTTGTGTTCTGGCTACAGGGCTATGGTGAAGGCAATGCCCTGGGAGACACCGAACGCCCTCGGAGAGCACGGCCACTCCTTCTACACCGTAACTTCACAGGCAGCTTCATCCCAAACTTGGAATCACTAGTCTCTTTCCTTTGAAAGTATGAATTCAAGTTTATGAAGTTTTTCTTACTTTTAAGATAAAATGTCATCACATGCTTCTCTAGGCATGCATCCACCTTTGCCACCTCTATGCTTCGGGTTGTTCTTTCCCTCAGAACTCCTGCTTTGCCAACTGATGTTGTCATTCCCATCATTCAGACATTCTCAAGTGGAACTCAGGGTCCATCGTGGCTGCCCCCTTTTCCTCCAGGCAGGACACCCTAAGCCTTGGAATCACTCCTCGAAGGGCTCACTCACTGTCCAGCCCAACTCAACCTCCCCCAGGCCTTTAGCTGACTAAACAAAGATGTCGTGCTCTATGAACGTCCTCAGACAGGAGATAAAGGGAGGCAGACTGTGATGTAAAGCAGGCATGCTGCCTACCTCTTCCCTCAAGGGGTCCTTTAAGGCAGCACAAGTAGAAAAGAGAAGGGCTAAGAGAAGATATTAAGGAGGACTCCACATCCCACTGCCGTTTCTTCCCGCCAGAGATGCCTCACACGCACACAAGTGCACCACAGGAGCACGCACGAACAAGTGCTGACTACTAATTCTGTAGGGGGTTCTGCAGCACACTCCAGAAGTCACTGCAATACCAGAAACGTTTGGGAGAGAGGGCCATCTGATGACAATTACAGGAATCCTGGAAGGGAAAAGAATGCTCAGGAAAGGCCAGACAGCCATGAAATTATAAACCTTAGCTTAGCCGAAGTCTTCTCCCCACCGCCACACCCTCCGCATCAGTGCCAGCAGGAGCGGAATGGTGATGCCATTACCCACTTTCCCAGGCTGACTCTGAGGCCAGGCGGCGCACACATTACTCCTGGGGGGACATATGATTTCGGTTTGCTCGGTTTTCTCACCCTTTGAAGTAGGACACTTGGACACTTCATGAGTGTCATGAGTTTAGTTCGAAAGGGTGTGAGACTTTTGGGAACCGCGTCTTTTACAGTAAGGAGATGATTTAAAAGGCAAACCACTGAAAATGTTTGATGAAACTAAAACCTCCCAAGTTCCTTTATTCCTTGACTTGATCCTTGTGAAATGTCAGAGAAGGGAGCTGGGAGGTAAAGCTTGCATTAGGGAGGAGAAAATGAGCTAACATTTACTGAGGATCCCTCACAGCGTGTCACTTTCAGGATTAGGGATCCTTGCAGTGGCCAGCGTATGCCTATAATCCCAGCACTGGCGGGCTGAGGCAGGATGATGAAGTTTTTTTATTTTTTTAAATTTTATTTTAAAGGAAAAAAAAAAAAAAACGAAATTCCAAAACAATGTGACAGGAGGGTAACAATGGCTAATACAATTGCCTATTGTTATTTTTAAACCAGTCAGTCAGAGTAGAAGATATCAGCATTTAATTGTCCGAACAATATTAGCACAAACCTATCTTTTCAAGGAGCTAAGAGAAATTAGTAGTATAACTATCTTAACCATCTTTTATATACATACATTTTTTTTCTTATGCTCTTCCCTTCCTTCTTTTCCCTACCCCGTCCCTGTTCCTCCTTCTTCCTGAAGTTTCTTTCCATTTCACAATATCTATTGCACATTTTGGATCTTATTTACTCTTTCAGCTTCTCACGCTAGGGCAACAATATGATAGTTCGACATGTGTGTCTGGTTTAGTTCACGTATGAGTATGGTCTGGAGTTGCATCCATTTACCTATAGAAGTCTCCGGTTTAGGATGGTGAAGGTTTGAGTCTAACCTAAGAAACACAGAAAAGACTCTATCTCTAATTTTTTTAAGGGTTAGGGATATAGGTCAGTATGCGGGATCCTGCTTCAATTCCCGGTAACACACATACACACATGTAATGCATGCACACACGCACACACACACGCATGCACACACAGACACACACAATTGGGGAATTCTGCATCCCCATTTTGGGAGAAATGAGGCCGAGAAAGACAATGTACCTAATCCCAACGTTCTTACATGAAGAAAATGGGTGAATCCCCAAATCAGTCTGACTTTACAGCCTGCGCTTTTTCTACTAAGTGACACTACCAATGAGCAAATACACCAGACGGCGATGAAACCAGGGTAACACCAAGTGGCACTAACCATGCATGACCTAACCAAGGCACTGCTGACTTAAACTTAAAGCCCTGGGGTAACAGCACTAGGGCACTGAAAAACCTGCAACAGCAGATACTCAATGCAGTTGTTTAAGGAAACAAGGAAGTACAGGAGACTACTCAACAACACATCGTGATTCCACAGAACAGCTGCTGTTTCAAGCGACGTACTGTCTCACTAGTGCAAGGACCTGAAAGAGTGGATAAAACTTAGGAGGCATGACATTGTAAAACGAAAGGAAAATACTCAAAAGTAAAGAGCAACTGGGGTGAGGGAAAAGGGAAAAGAAAGAAGGGGAAATTATGTATGTATGTATGTATGTATATACAGGATAGCTAACACAGTTGTACTACTGACTTCTATCGCATTACTGAAAGAACAGTTAATGATTACTTATTTGATCTTGCATGTCTCTATTTGTTTTCCTGAGAAACCACTTTGAAGATATCAATATGTAATACAACAACCACTGTTAATTTCCTACCACTCTGTCTGTAACTTCTGTGTTGCTTATATTCTTCTTATGCTATTTTGTAAATGGATGCCTGTTTGTTAAAAAAAAAAAAAAAAGAGAGAAGGTACTAGAGTAGAATCACATTTGACAAATCTTTAAGTTAGAAATATAGCTAACTCATAAACATAAACACACACACACATAGAAATCCAAAATTAGGATTATTAATTTCCATTCAATTATCTTCAATTAATGCCTTCCATGGGTCTCTATGGAAGTCTAAAGTGTCAAACACTGTCAAATTTTCTTTAAACACAGTTATAAATTGAGCCCTTTAATTTGTTAAAAAAAAAAGTTGGGCTTTGACAACATGACAACAAAGAACTGCCTGACTACTTACAAAATATGGCAGTAATAAGTATGATAGGAATAGTAAAATAAAACGGTTGTAACGACAATGGCAGCTTTCAGTTTTTCCATTGTTTTTGGTATCATACTGTTCCTAACCTTTAGTATAGATTTTTGGACTTAACCATCTCTACATCCTTAAGTAACAACTACTTCTTAAGTAACAACTCTATTATCCCTACCAAATAACAAGCTCCTTGAACTTAGAAAATCTGAACTTGAGTTCAAGTTCACTCTTGGCTCTGATAAGCTGGAAACCGCTCCATCTTCCTAGGAATTCAACTTCTTTCCCGTACTGAGAACACAGCATGTGAAATGAGCTCTCAGGCATTATGGACTTGACATCCATCTGAAAGTGTGTATGTGCCCCTCCCAACCCATATAAAACACATATCACTGCCTAATCAAGTCACTGAACTTCAGTGGTTTCACAATCTCCCCTAATGCAGTGCACAGGAAGTTACTAATAATCAACACGTGTTAGCTTTTCAAATGAAACCCCCTTGGTCTCCTAAAATGACAGTATCACCTAGTCCGAGCTAGGTATGGAGCCGGTAAGAGTGTCATAAAGACTAAAAGCTAAAGCTTGGGTGTTAAGGGTGTAGCTCAGTGGTATAACACTTGCATAGCACATGTGAGACCCTAAATTCAGTCCCTAACACCACCAAAACCAACAGACAAAAGCTAAAGCCTGTTACACACTTGAACCAGATGATAAACGCCTGTTTGTATCAGGTATCTAGCTAAAAAGTCTTGAGAAACTTGTTTTCGCCACCCCCAGAAAGCTGGCTGACCTAAACATTCCTGATCTGCTCAAGAACCAAAAACAAAGAAAAAACTCTAGTCTGCCAGGTTCAGGCAAAAAAATGTATGTCAAGCCTCAGGAAAGGAAGCAGGTATATCCCACCGAAGAGAAGGCTGCTTCCAAAAGGAAAGCACAGGATTTTGGGGGGTCCCCAAATCCTGATTTTCTCTGGCCTCCTTTCATGTACGAAGCTAACATTTTAGCTCAGAGGAGGTAATTACCAGCCAGGCTCTGCAGTCCATCAGTCCGCCCTCGGTAGTCCTGCTGGTTCTTTCTCTGGCCTCTAGGACCCAAGAATCCCTTTTGTTGATCTGTAAGTGCAAAGGAAAGGTTGGCCGTTACTGGTTTCCCTCTCTCTAGTCCAAATTTCTGCCAAGTAATTAGGAACCGCAAACGAACTACTCTCAACTCTTTTAATGGAAGCTAGGGGGTTAGAGCAGGCACAGCCTCTCACAAAAATAAGATTAAAACCATACATCTTTGATACCCTCCCTTCCAAGTAGAATGGACAAATCTAATTTGGCTCTAAGCTATGAACTCAGGAACCTGATCCAAATCACCTCCATTCTAATTTAGGCAGTTTGGCAAGAGCAGCTTAACTCATAAATGAAATGTATACGGATTTACAAAAGATGCTCATTCTCATAACTATCCTAAAGGAAAATATTATTAGTATCCCCATTTTGCAGACAAAGATAACAAAGGCTAAAAGTACCACTCCTAAGATCACACTTAACATGTGACAAAGAAGTCTCCTTATTCCAAAAATAAGACTTCTGGTAATTTTTCCAAGTAACTGTAACATGTTATTGTTTAAAGGAATTCCCCCGATTGCAAGTATTATTCAAACCACATTAAGAATTTTATGAGTTAGAAAGCCATCCTAAGTGCCGGTCACACAGTACGCATGTGTTCATTTTGCATTCCTCACTAAACCACATGTAGATATGATAGAGGAAATTCTTTTTGTTTGTCTGTTTTTGTACTGGGAATCGAACTCAGGACCTTGCACTTGCCAGGTAGGCACTTATGCCACTGAGCTACATCCCTGGCCCCTCATAAGAGGAAATTGTGAAATACCCTTGAATAGTCCCTACCACCCTCTAAGACCATTTCCATTGCACAATTCTGATGATGAGTGATACAAATATAATACAAATTGCCCACAAAATATATACACGGGGACAAAAGGTAAAGAATCGCACGGCAACAGCAGCAACACTGGTGTGCTCTTCCTGCCACACAGGTGGAGAACGATCATTGCCTTTGGTGACCAGCAAACCCCTAACCAGAGGATCCATGGCTCCACATACCACCAATCCAAATGGCAGGTGGCCGTCAGAGCCATGTGTTGCAAAACAGTGTTTCAGCCTACAATGGATCACATATACCATGGTGGTCTCACAGACTATAAAGAAGCTGAAAAAAAATTATGATCTAGTAAACACATTACCTGAAACAGAGGCAACAGAAAAAGAAACCACAGGAGAAGAAAAAGAAATCCCAAGAAAATTCAAAGTGAAAGGTTTCACAGAATATTCTGCAGATCTCAACAGGCTCTTTACAACGTTGAAAACACGGACCCTAAACACCCAACAGTTTTCATTAATAGACAGGAATGCTCATGATATACTGTATGCTTAGAAGAAAATCTATGATGAAAAAAAAGAAACAAAACCATGCAAATCATTGCAGACATATTTCTGAAAAGAACGATAACTCCCCAAGTAGAGCCCCAGGCGGGCCCTTCAGGAGGAATTCCAGAGGAACGCGTTGTTGTCAAAGAAGATGACAGCTCCATGCTGTTACTGCCCTGAAGACTCTCTAGTGAGGCAGAAAGCAAAAGACAGTGATATTGATGCTCCTGACCCACACAGACCTAGGCTAATGTGTTTCTGTATTAGTTTTTAACCAGAAAGTTTGCAGAGTAAAAAATAATTAAAAATTATAACAGAAAAAAGCTTACATTTTGCACAGCATGTTTGTATTTTAAGCTAAGTGCTATTACAAGAGTCAAAAAGTTAAAAAAATTAGTTTATATAGTAAGAAGATTACAGTAGGCTAAGGTTAATTTATTACTGAAGAAAGAACTGCTTTTTCTAAATGCAGTGCAGTCTAAGTGTACAGAGTTTACAAAGTCTACAACAGTGTATAAAAACCTCAGGCCTTCACACTCAGTCATCACCCACTGACCTAGAACAACTTCCAGCGCCGTGAGTGCCATTCACAGTAAGCGTCCTGTGGAGGTGCACCATTTCTTAAAACTTTTATTGTGCATTTTACTATACCTGGTCCATGTTTAGATAACACAAATGTCGTTGTTTTACAATCACCTACAGTATTCAGCACAATAACACGCTGTATAGGTTTGCAGCTTAGAAGCAATAGGCCATATACTACACAGCCCACTAAAGTACTGTAACAGGCTATACCCCTTAGGATTGGGAAAGTACACTCTGATGTTCACAAGCCACCAATTTAATCTCAAAACTCTTAACATGTTCCCCTTGTTAAATTACACACAATTGTACAGATATTAATAAGCTTGTGTTCTACTGCACAGAACCAAGGTTCCAAGATCATTAATTAGAACTGACAATGTCTGACTCCTTAGGTATACCAAAATCAACTACAACACACATAGATACTTTTCTTTTTTCTGATTCTGCAAGTAATACACTCTTATTTGCAAACAATCTGAAAAGTGTAGCAAGACACGAAGAAGCAAAAATTAGTCAATAGTCCCTGAGAAATACTGGCTTCTTTTTCAGTCTTTTTTTTTTTCCTGACAGCTGGATTATTTGAAGTACTTCCTTTCCTACAGGAGGAGCTGATACTTTCATTGACCAGTAACAAGACAGGCGATATAATCTACAAGAAATTAATCACATTTTATTACAGAATTCAAATTTCCTCAGTGAAGTCTTAATACTAACTACAGCAAACTGCATAAAAATCCTTTGCAAAGCCCAAGAAGTATTACCATTTAACTTGTTCTGCTGCTACAACCACAAAACCAAAACAAATAGGAGTTGAGATCTCCATAAGTTCAAGGCCAGCCTGGGCTACATAGTGAGACCCTGTCTCAAAAAAAAAAAAAAAAAAAAAAAAGGAAAGGAAGGAAGGAAGGAAGGAAGGAAGGAAGGAAGGAAAGGAAGGAAGGAAAGGAGGGAGGGAGGAAGATCTAGTGCTGAGCACAAAGAAATACCCTTGTCAGAATTTGTTTTGTTTTTCAAAATCTTTTTTCCTTCTAAAATCCTACTTTTTCATTTAAACTATTCACCTAATTATCCTATCACTGAAAAGGAACTATAGTTCACCCCCAAAAAAGAAAGTCCATATAGAGCAGAGTAGGGGGAGCAAAAGATCCTGTTCCCTTCTGGAAACTGCACTTCTAGAGGATACGAAGGAAGTATTATCTAAGGACGGTGTATATGTCCTCTTCTAAGTACACAGTCACGTAGCACAGCTTCCCTCCACTGCAATCTGAAATGAAAAGCTCAAAAGGCAGGCCAGTCTGCCAGTGATCTGCTTTCCACGCTGAAGAGGACAGACCTGTGACCTCTGTAACGCTGAGAAGAGCCCCTGCAACTATGTTGGTTAGCAACTGCCCTGATCATGTGTGTCTAAGGTACCTATTTAAGAGGGGCTCATACAAGAAAGTACTTTTGTACTACTTACTGCTGAGTAAACACAAGTTTTGAGTAATTTTCAGTGAAACAGACCTGGAATTCTATTCCCCACAGCCTAGTGATTTTAAATGCCCTGTGACCCTCTTAAGCACTGCCAACACCAACATCTGGTACCTGCACAAAGAAAACAGATTCTACAAGGTTTTTTTTTAACTTTACATTTTCATCATGTGCTTTAAGTATGTTTCTAGGATAACTCTCTTCCTCCTCTTTGTGATATACCAAAAAAATAAGGAGCTATTTTATCAGGCAGCTGTAAAATGGTTTAAAAGCAAAAATAATTATCCAAAATAGGGTTGTTGCTAATGTTTCCTCATCTTTTCTCTAAGAAGAGTTTATAAAAAGGTCTTTGATTTGACTGAATGAAAAAAAACCCAAACAGATTTTAATTATCACTCCGCAGATATGTGATCTGCAAAAAGGCCTTCAAAATTCAAAACATATTCATCCTCTCTACATACAAGTTTTCATACCTCTGATTTCTGTTCTTCCTCCTGTATTTTCTCATGTATGGCTTTTTATGACCTTGAAGTCCTCAAAGATCTTAACAAAAGCAATGACGGTACTAATGATACTCAAGATTTTCATCCCCTTTAAATGCTATACTTTAGCAAACAACTTAACAGGAGAATCTCAAAAGGATTCTCATTCTGTAAACCTCCGATGCTTACCACAGGAAATTCCAAGTGACGTTTAAAAAGTAAATACACCTATCAGCAAAACTGACCATATTTCATAAAGCGAATAAAAAAAGACATGAAAAGAGCTAAAGTATTTTCTTCTAAGATACTCTCTTCAGTCTGAAAAAGACACAGAGAAAAGTAAAAATGCCTCCCAATTATCAGTGAGTTAAACAAAGGATCATCCCTAATTGTACAGCATCCAGACAGCTGCCGAGAGGTTCGTTTCTATGTAAACCTCTCCCCGTCTGCGGTCCTGGCTCAAGTCTAAAGCTATCATTATATAAGTAAAGCAGCCCATAAACATGTTTCCCCTATTTGAGTATCATCAACTACTAATACATGAGACATTCAATGGCCAGGCCACACCTCATGCATCGATTGTTTTTCACAAGCACTCATGTGACGCCACACGCCTGCTTAGTATCTGAAATAAAATGACTGTGTTCTACATTACAGAAATCTTCTCCAGGAAGAAAACGTAGCCATCACTCATTTCTTGGCCAAACATACTAAAGGAGACTCAGCGCTGGGGCTGGTTAGAGTGCAAATATATTAGCTGCGACTTCAGCAAGTGCCTGTCATGTTGAATAGCATGAAAAAGAGAGATAGTAATTATTGCCGAGAAACCATTAGAGAGCTCCTTAGTAAAACACGATGCCCGAGCAAACTAATGGACCAACAGTCCACTGCAGTGTCTCTTCCTATTCCATTTAGCTACATGTCAGTCCTATCAAATCATCTGACACTTGCCACGCAGGCAGGCTCAGTACAATTAGCAAGAGCCTCCGCACCATGCCCTTTCACTGGAGCTACAATAAGCAGCTACATTTGTACAGCCGGAAATGATTTCTTGATTGTTTGTGACACAGAGATCTAAAGCTCTTCCTGGAAGGCAAATGCCCATTGGTCTTGCTCCAACAACGAAGGCTTCAGGTC